TGTGTGTGTGTGTGTGTGTGTGTGTGTGTGTGTGTGTGTGTGTGTGTTTCTGTCTGTCTCTATCTGTTTGGGGGGTGGGGGTGGAGGAGGAAGGGAGGAGCAGGGGCTTTGAGGTCCTTGTGTTTCCGGGGGAAATGGGCCCAAGCCTGGGAGTGTTCTGGGCTGAGTCAGTAGAATATTTGGAGATTTACTAACACCTTGACTCCCCTCCCCCCCAGTTCCCCGAGTGTGGCTTCTACGGTCTCTATGACAAGATCTTACTCTTCAAGCATGACCCCACCTCCGCTAACCTCCTGCAGCTGGTTCGGTCTGCTGGGGATATACAGGAGGGAGACCTGGTGGAGGTGGTACTATCCGGTAAGGGGGCTGGGGGAGGGGGTTGTCACTCTGTCATGGAGACTTGGGGAAGCAGATAAGGGTGAGAGGATCCTTTGAATCTGAGAATTATCAAATCATAGAATCTTTAAAGGGCAGATCTGGAAAGGACCCTTTTGATGTCTCCCCCATCTGACAAAAGGGGAAACTGAGGCCCAAGGAGGAGAAAACTTACTTGCCCATGGTCATGCAGTGAATTAGTGGTGGAGAAGGACTGGGGGTTGTTGTCCCGCTACTGGGTCTCCCGGGACCTTTTCTAGGGTTCCTTCTTTTCAGTTTCTCATAAGAAGGAAAGTGAGGAAACAAGTCTTTATGAATTGCTCACACTGTGCCAGGCCCCCTGCACAGAGGAGGTCAGGATCCCTGCCCCCTGTCCTGTCCTCTCCTCCCAAGTCCTGACCACGAATCACCTGCCCTCTCTCAGCTTCTGCCACCTTTGAGGACTTCCAGATTCGGCCACATGCCCTTACAGTGCACTCCTACCGAGCGCCAGCTTTCTGTGACCACTGTGGGGAGATGTTATTCGGGCTGGTGCGCCAGGGCCTCAAGTGTGATGGTGAGCCAGTGTTAGCGGGGAGGAAATGAAGGGTGGCCAACTGGGGTATCAGGGTGGGTTTGGTGTACCTAGGGCAGGGTGAACTGGGCTTCATGCTGGGGCATTGAAATTTAGGGGCTGCTCTTTAAGCAGAAAGAAACAACTGAGCTTAGTACCTAATTAGCAAGATTTTTTTTTTTTACCAGATTTGTGATTTCTTTGGTGTAGGGAGCTCCTGGTCAGCAAGCCCCCCTACCAGGACAGATCAGTACCTGCTCTTCAGCTTGTGGTCTTAGAAAGTTGCCTTAGGGCGCTGAGAGGTTAGTGACTTCCCCAGGATCACACAAGTAATAGAATGGCAGCTAGTCGATGCAAACCTCCTGGTCTGGAGGTGCACCCTATAGACATGCTGCCTGTACGTTAGCAAGAATCGTTCAAAAGATTAGAACACAGTCACCTAGTCACACCCACTCATTTTAGATGAGGAAGAAAGCCTCTTGGTGAAGGTCATACAGGTAGGAAGCACCAGAGATGGGATTTGAACCCAGGTCCTGAGACTTAAGTAGTGGCCCCTTCCTCTGTACCATACACTGCCTCTTAAAAAAGGGGAATTGAGGGTCCTGCTTGTGCCACCCCCAAAACTCTTAGGTACGGCTGTCTAGGTGAGAAGAGCCAGACAATGGAAGAGGGGGGACCCTGTTAAGGGAGGAGAAGAAGGCTGCACTGGGGCCACCTCAGAGGTGGAACATTTTCTGGGTTCTGTGACAGGGAGAGATGAGGACCATTAGCTGGAGGGAACCTTCTGGGAGATGAGAGGCACCATGGGGGGGGGGCGCTTCTTTTGAAATGGGGAGAGTCTAGAAATATAAAGGAATTTGGGGGTGTCTGTGGCTTTGAGGCTGACAGGGGAGTTACTGTGATGTGGAAGAATCTTGGGAGGTGTTTAAGGAAAAATTAAGGATTGTTGGAAGGATGCTAGACTGACCTCAGGTCCGGGGAAACATCCTGGATGGAATCTGGGGTGGGAAGGCAGTTTGATGAGAGGGTTGAGGACCACCATTGGGAAGGGGATCTGAGTATATGCTGGAGGGGGCAGGGTCCGGGCTGCCTGGCTTCTTAACAGTAGCAGCATCTGGACATGTCCCCTGAGCCTCTCCCCTCTGCCTCCAGGCTGTGGGCTGAATTACCACAAGCGCTGTGCCTTCAGCATCCCCAACAACTGTAGCGGGGCCCGTAAGCGCCGTCTGTCCTCCACCTCTCTGGCCAGTGGCCACTCCCTTCGGCTTGGCACGTCTGAGTCTCTGCCTTGCTCGTCCGATGAGCTGGTGAGGGCCCTGGGGCTGGTGCCTGGTGGTGGCAGGGGCAGGGCATGGGAGGGTCCTGCACAGAGAGAAGCCCCAGGCTTGGGGGTGGGCAGAGGGGGCCATGACTTCCTCTCCCTCTGGACAGAGCCGCAGCTCAACGGAGGTGTCCTCACGCCGCCTGCCCTCGTCTTCCTCTTCCTCCTCGTCCGTGTCCTACATGGGCCGCCCCATTGAGCTGGACAAGCTGCTGCTCTCCAAGGTCAAGGTCCCGCACACCTTCCTCATCCACAGTTATACTCGGCCTACAGTCTGCCAGGCCTGCAAGAAGCTCTTGAAGGGCCTCTTTCGACAGGGCCTCCAATGCAAAGGTCAGCAGGTAGAGGTCAGAGGGGAACAAGGGATGCAGAATCCCCAGGGAAGCAGAGAAGCTCAGAATCTTAGGAAGAGATACTTAGAATGTTAGATTAAATAATCCTTGGAACCAGGCATCTAGAACATCAAGCTTAGAACAGAGAACCTTGGAAGCAGACACCTAGAACATCAGACTTAGAATGGAGAACCTCAGAAACAGACAACTAGGATGTCAGATTTATAAGGGAGAACCTTGAAACCAGACACTTAGAATAGAGAATCATAGAAATAGACACCTAAAACCTTAAGCTTAGGATAAAGAACCTTAGAAACAGACAACTAGAATGTTAGATTTATAAGAGAGAACCTTGGAACAAGACACTTAGAGAATCATAGAAACAGACACCTAGACCATCAGGTTTATAACAGAACTGCAGAAACAGATGCCTGGAATAGAAAACCCATAAAAAGACACCTAGAACATTAGGTTGAGAACAGAGAACTTTAGAAACAGGCACCTAGGATAGAGAACCATAGAAGCAAACACCTAGAACATCAGACTTAGAGAACCTTAGAAATACATTTAGAACTTCAGGCTTAGGATAGAGAACCTTAGAAACAGACACTTAGAATGTTAGACTTAGGTTAGAATCTTAGGCATGGCTACCTAGAACATTAGATTTAGAAGACACTTTTAATCATAAGATTTCAGAATGTTAGAATTTGAAATGAATGAGTGAAGAGCCCTTACCCCCTAAACGACGGGGATACAAATGCTTTTGCAAAGTCAGCATCATATGGTGTCAATCCCAGAATGGAGTTGGAGGATCTTGGAATGTTGGCAGCGTGCCTGTGTGGACGCTAGATTTGCTTCAGGAGAATCTTTGGGATTTTAGAGCCGTAGAATGTTAAATCGGGATAGAATCAAAGACTTGGTGTTTTAGAGGTTTGGGATCTTAGCGTATTAGACTTCTCAGACTGGGAATGTCGGCCCTGTCGTTAAAGACTATTTCAGGCCACTGCCCTGTTTCCAGAGCTGGTGGCAGGAGAGGTAGAGTTTGGGGGTCAGACAGTCTCCGGGCCAATCAGTAGGTGTTTGTTAAATGCCTGCTCTGGGGCAGGCGCTGGGTGGTTCTTAGTGCTGTTGCTTGAGGTCTCTGGATTAGCCGTGGGGTTTTGGGGGGTGAGGCCCCAAATCCTAACTGGGGAAGGGAAGTTGTTGCAATGGATGTTTCCCCATCGATGGTGGGGTTAGCCTGGGGAGGTGGAGTGGAAAACACCAGAGCTGATGAGACTTTCCATCAACCCTCCCCACCTGCAGATTGCAAATTTAACTGTCACAAACGCTGTGCCACCCGCGTCCCCAACGACTGCCTGGGAGAGGCACTCATCAATGGCGGTGAGCCAGGACGGCCGGAGGGGAGGGAGAGGGCCCGCTGGGTGGGAAGGAGACCTCTCAAGGGATCCCTGAGCTCTGTGGTCCCTTCCATCCCCTCCGACAGATGTGCCCATGGAAGAGGCAAGTGACTTTGGGGACTCTGACAAGAGTTCTATGATGGATGAGTCCGACGACTCTGGGGTCATCCCTGGCTCCCATGCGGAGAATGCCCTGAGGGCCAGTGAGGAGGAGGAAGGTGAAGCCGGCAAGGCTCAGAGGTATTGACGCTAACGTCCAGCCCAGTCCCTCCCTACCTGTTGACTCAGACTCGCACATCGCTTCTAGCTTGCTGTCTGGCCTTCCCAGAATCCCTTTCTGCTCTGGGCCTCAGTTTACCCAGGTCCAACTAGATGGTCTCTGAAGTTCCTTTCAGCTCTGATGTTACGTTCTTTTACTTTTTAATCTTATTTAAAATGATATATTTTTGTTCTCACTTTGCCTTCATTTCTAAACACATCATCTGCCACCCCACTCCCCATCGAGCCATCCCTTGTAACAAAGGTTAAAAAGTAACAGTTCATCTAAACTGACCATCACCTTCACCATCTCTGACAGTGGAGGCGACATTCTGCCCCTGCCACCCCCTGCTCCCCAAAGAGGGGAGGTGGGTCCATTTTCTCAGCTCTTTTCGGAGCCAACCATGGTCATTATAATTTCTGTTGTTCAGTCCATTAGTTGTGTCTGACTCTTCATGACCTCATTGGACATTTTCTTGGCAGAGATACTGGAGCGGTTTGCCGTTCCCTTTTCCGGCTCATTTTACAGATGAGGAAACTGAGGCAGTTAGGGTGAAGTGAGTTGCCCAGGGTCGCACAGCTAGGAAGTGTCTGAGGCTGGATTTGAACTCAGGTCTTCCCTACTCCAGGGCCAGCGCCCTTATCATCATCATTATACGGCATTAAGTTTTCTTTTGCCGGTGTTTTCATTGACGTTGTCGTAGTCCTTCTGTCTGTTATTCTCTTACTTTTGCTATAGTTCGCTGTATGTGTCTTCCCATATTTCCCTATTTCTTTGTATTTCCTTATGGTGCAGAAGTAGTCCTCTACAGAAGTTGTTTGGCCATTCCCCAATTGAGGGGCACCGAAGTTGTTGCCTGCTTTTTGCTACCCCTAAAAATGCTGCCATGAATAGCTGAGTGTGTTGGGAACCTTTCTTTTCTGCCGGCTCGTCCTTGGAGTATGTGCCTAGCAGTAGGAATTCCGGGTCACAGAATCTAGACGTTTTTGTCTCTCCCTACCCCCGCTTTTTTTTAGCACCATTCCAAATTGCTTTCAGCAGCTCCACCAACAATGTATCTGTGTGCTTTCCCCAGCTTTCCCAGCTTTGACTCTTTCCTTCTTTTGCGTTTTGTTCTAAGGTCCCTTCCATCTCTGACGTGTCCATAATTGATTTTAACTGTTGCCTTTGATTGTGATTCAATCTCTTCCCCACTCCCAGTTCCCTCGGGTACATCCCCCTAATGAGAGTCGTTCAGTCGGTGAGACACACAACCCGAAAATCCAGCACGACCCTCCGAGAGGGGTGGGTCGTTCACTACAGCAACAAGGACACGTTGGTGAGTGGACCCTGGGACCGATGGGTGGGGAAGGAGAGCCCCGGCTCTGCCCTTGCCTTTTCTTGGTGTCGTCTGGCCCGGAGGCAGGCTGCCCTGGGCTGACGACTTGTCCGTCCTCACAGAGGAAACGTCACTACTGGAGGCTAGATTGCAAGTGCCTTACCCTCTTCCAGAACAACACAACCAATCGATACTACAAGGTATGTCCTGGGCTCTCACCCACTGAGCTGGGCCTTGACCAACCCAGTCTCCTTGGGCGTGGAAATTTGAACCTGGGTTCCTAGGAGGGGCCACCTAGGGATTGGGGGAGGTTTATTTCTTACCGCTGCTGATAGAATTGGTACTGGTTGGCTCTAGAATCAAAATCCAATTTCTTTGTACCTTGTCCCTTGAGGCATCTTGACCGTGCCCTTCTGTGTTCCATCAGGAGATCCCCCTGTCTGAGATTTTGGCTGTGGAGCCGGCCCTGAACTTCTCCCTGGTGCCCCCGGGCACCAATCCTCACTGCTTCGAGATCGTCACTGCCAACACCACCTACTTCGTGGGCGAGACGCCCATCCTGGCCCCTGGTGGCCCAGGCGGCGGGCAAGGGGCTGAGACCGCCCGGGGCTGGGAGACGGCCATCCGCCAGGCCCTGATGCCGGTCATCCTGCAGGACGCTCCTAGCACTCCCGGCCACGCGCCCCACAGTGAGTCCCAGGTTGAGGTGCTGTCCTGAGGGCTGGTGGCCCGTGCCCGGGGTGATACGGTCTTCCTCATGTATCCTTTCCTTCTCTTCAGGGCAGGCCTCTCTCAGCATCTCTGTGTCTAACAGCCAGATCCAGGAGAATGTGGTGAGACTGTGCTCCTGCATCCCTCCCGTGGTTTCTGTCCTTGGTGCCCACCTGTGCCTTTATCTGCCTGCCGCCCTGCCTCCCTTCCTGTGTCCCCCTCCCTGCTTCCAATCAGCTCCCTTTTCCCGTTCCTGCTCCTTTCTCCCCCCGTCCCCCGTCTCTTCCCTTCTCTCTCTCAATCCCTGTCTCTCCATCTCCCTTTCTGCCCCTCTCGTCTGGTTTCTCCACATCTCTCTCTGACCCCTCTTCCCTCCTGTCTCCCCTGCTCTGCTGTTCCCCCAAAGCCCTCCCTCCCTCCCTGACCGCTCTGCCTCCCCACAGGACATCGCCACAGTCTACCAGATCTTCCCCGACGAGGTGCTTGGCTCTGGGCAGTTTGGAGTTGTCTACGGAGGTAAAACACAAAGCACTGTTGGGCGGTTGGGGTGGAGACCCCTATTCGGAACACTTGGCACATGCCCACTTGCCGTACGTTGGCGACCCCGTGGATAGAATTCTTGAGGCTCCGTCTTTCCCTTTTGCTCACCTCCCCAGAGCCCCTCATCCGCTCCCCTAAAGTCTCATCTCCCCTAGTTTTCCCCCATTTTCTCTGTGAGGTCGCTAGGTGGTGCCGTGGATAGAGGGCTAAACTTGGGAGGCAGGAGGACCCGAGTTTGAATCCTGTCTCACACTCACTGTGTAATGGGGGCAAGTCCTCACAGTCCTCATCTATAAAATGGGGATAATAATAGCGCTCATTTCAGAGGGTTGTTATGGGGATCAAATACATTAATAGATCCAGTGAGTTAATTTGCAAGCCTCAAAGTGTTATACAAATGTTTAATTGTTATTACTGATGTGCCCCTTGAGGTCTTCCTACCTTAATAATATTCACTCATCTACAAGACCAAAGGGCTTAGTGCAGTTTAAAGCTTTAATAGATTAAAATTGCACCAAGACTTTTGGGACACCCTATATGTGTAATATAATGGGTTCCTCCCTCCCTGGCCTCAGGTTATGGAGGACCTGGGTTCAAGTCCTGCCTCTGACATATGACTAGTTGTGTGAACATAACCTCTCAGTGCCTCCAGGCAAGTCTCTGAGATTAAAAGGTGTAGAGGAGTTGAAGGGGCAGCTGGGTGGTGCAGTGGTTAGAGCACTGAGCCCTGGAGTCAGGGACACCTGAGTTCAAATCTGGCCTCAGACACTTCCTAGCAGTGTGACCCTGGGCAAGTCACTTAACCCTGTGTGCCTCAGTCTCCTTATCTGTAAAACGAGCTGGAGAAGGGAATGGCAAACCACTCTAGTGTCTCTGCCAAGAAAACCCCAAATGGGGTCACAGAGAGTCAGACATAACTGAAAACAACTGAGCAGTAACACAGTCCTGTAAGGGCAAGGTAATTATTACTTCCATTTTGCAGATGAGGAAACTGAGGCTCATAGAGGACAAGTGACTTCCACAGCTAGTTAGTGTCAGACCAGGATTGCAGCCAAGGTTTCAGACTCCACGCCCAGCCCCATTTTGGGAGCCTCACTTGTAAATAGGGCAGCCCTCTAGGGTGGGGGGACGATGGCATAGGATTGACCCCCACACCTGCCACCCACAGGGAAGCACAGGAAGACGGGCAGGGACGTGGCTGTGAAGGTGATTGACAAGCTGCGGTTCCCCACCAAGCAGGAGAGTCAGCTCCGGAATGAGGTGGCCATCCTGCAGGTGAGGACCTGGCATTCCCAGCCCCAGCTCCAGGGCAGCGGGGCTGACACTCCCTCCTTGGACCCTGCCTGGCGGGGACTGGTGAGGGCAGAGGGAGGGTCGGGGGAGGGGTCTGTGGGAAGCCAGATGGGAGTGGGAGGGAAGGGCTTGACTCCTGCCCCTCCTCTCATCTGGCCTTGGCAGAGTCTCCGGCACCCAGGGATTGTGAACCTGGAGTGCATGTTTGAGACCCCTGAGAAGGTGTTTGTGGTGATGGAGAAGCTTCACGGAGACATGCTGGAGATGATTCTGTCCAGTGAAAAGGGACGGCTGCCTGAGAGGCTCACAAAGTTCCTCATTACTCAGGTGATGCCCTGGTCCTGCCCCATCCCACTGGGTCCTCTACCCCCACCTTAGAGCCCCCTCCAGCTCCCCCTCCCCCCATCCCCCTCCCCTCTCCATGCTGTCCCCCTCCCCTCTCCATCCTGTCCCCCTCCCCCTCCATCCTGTCCCCCTCCCCTCTCTATTTTATCCCCCTCCCCTCTCCATCCTGTCCCCCTCCCCTCTCTATCCTATCCCCCTCCCCCTCCATCC